TTGTTCGCTAAATTTAAGATCCAAGTAATTTCAAGCGTTCATGGTAGACAATCCCAGTAGTTTCTCAGGAGAATATTCTTGGGTAAGCTGCCTTTATAATTATGCAAGTCCAATTAGGATTTCATTCAGGAACAAAAAGAAAGACAGGTCGTTGATTTGTTTTGTCCGATTTCATACAGCATCCAGCTTTAAAGTTATTAAACCGTCATCTCCAACTTACTGACAGGGGAAAATTTCACAGTTGAAAACAATTTTACTCGACATTGCGATGATAAATCGTTCAATCTTCATTACAGGTTTCATTTTTTTTGCTTTTGTTAAATATAAAGCTTATCACTTGAAACAAATTCAACTTTGACCCATGTTACGTTTTCCTTGAACAAAACGGGATACTCGGTTAGATTATAGACAAATTTATGTATTGAGGCTATTTTATAGTAGCTTTGCCTTTTGAACGCAGTTCCTCGTGCACACATTACTAAGTTAGGAAAGAGCACATCTTTATTGTTCACACGTGAGATTCGTGTTACAAGTTAACATCAGTAAGCAAGAGAATTATTTTACTCTTGCAGTAAGCTACAAAATATAAATTGGTTCAACACTTTCACATAGAGTTCATGCTATCTAAAGAGATAAAAAGGTACAATTTCTTATTTAGCTGAAACATGCATCGGCCGCGGATAAGACGTTAAATAAAAACCTTAGTTTGATGAGAAATCAGAATTCAAAATGGTTCTACTAAAAATTCACACTATTAATAGAGATAAAAAAATAGACTATAATATCTTTTTTTCGTTGAAACATGCATCAAGCAGACAAGAAGTTGAATGGAAAACTTTCATTGGAGGGAAATCAGGTTCCGTAAGCCCTAACAAATTTTCCTGCTTCATTCAACGTAAAAATCGAGGGATCTGGTGTCTGCTTAATGAACGCTGTCTTGTAAACTATAAAAATAAACAACTCTAAGAGTGATATCCTATTCGAAACCATGATTCATTTTAAAGTTTCTTTGTCTGAGCTAAAACAGAGCATTAACATTTTCAAATCGCAAACAAATAAATAATGAAATTAAATACACCAGTTCTTGAATGAATAAACTAGAAAATTCTATCATTCAAAAAGAGTCAAAGTTGATTTTCAAAATAGCACAGCATAATGCAGTAAAAAAAAATGAAAATTCGATCCAATTCAACAACTGAGGTTTGGAACGGTCTAATGAGAGATGTTATCTACCCGACAACATCGACAACTGTCTACCATCGAAACGCAATATTGGAATATTAAACTGTTGTATGTTTATTTTTTTTTTCTCCACGTTTACAGCCGATTGATCTTTAAGAGCACACAGGTTATTTCTGTTGCCTATCCCTTACATTTAAGATTATTTCGAGCAACTAAAATGCTGTCGTCTCAACGACGAACAAGGTTTCTGTTTTGAATTATTTCGTCGTATTTAAATAAGTCTGGAACGAGCGTTTCATACTTCTTACATCAATAACAATATTTGCGGTAACACAAAAGGCAATTGTGAAGAAAATAGCCCAGAAACTCATCTTAAGGTACTTTATCAATAAATGTCTATCTTTCTGATGTCCTCTGCCGTTCGTGAAATCCTTCACCAACCTTACACCTTTTTTCTTGCAAATTTTCTCCACATTTTCGGCGATTTCTGGCCTACCCACAAAATAACAGCAAGACGTCTTATTTGTAGACTTCAGGGCTTTCTCAAAATCTATCCTACCTTTAATGAGCTGAAAGTGGCTTTCGACCGCATTTTCTCCACTCGTGTCCTCTTCTGGACTGGTCAAATAAAAGCGGAACTTTATGGAAGCAACATTCTTCTCCTTGATTTTTCCCAAGAGTTCGTTGATAGGTTTCCGCAGGAAATGGTACAACGCTTTACAACGGACTGAATAGAAGATATCGATCCTCTTTTCTTCTCCGCTTTCACTTCCTTTATGAGGCGGTTCTGTTTTGTGGGCTAGGCAGCTTAGGACATCCAATAAATAGCCACAGCCAGACCCGGTTGCGAACAGAACGTAGTGGGAAGGCGAGGGTACGCTTGACACCAGCTGGTTGTACAACTTTGAGACAGATGAGCGATAGGGTCCCCAAGCACGGAAAGCAGTATCTTCAGTACTGTCGGCGAGCCAATATGTCCAAGGGAGGCAAAGCTGGTTATAGTCCTCCATAATCGATATCACGAAACCAATGTCCCAGGTTGAATCTTTTGACAAATTAGCAAAGGTGGTAAAGGGATGAGACCGTTGTGGCAGTATTCCGGTGCTTCCTTTCGGTTGGTGCAGAAGATAATAAACGTCGCCGACAGTATGTTCCACTTCTTTGTCGAGTTTGACATACAGGATGACGTAGTCTTTACCAATGACTTCTTTTCGAACAATGTGACCTTCATGGCGTCGATAAAAGTAAATGGAGACCAACCTGTCGATACACCAGATAATGAGTATGGGAAGGTTAGTAACATGAGCCAGTCCGTGAGTGATCTTCCTAATGTTGTCGATAGCGTACCAGATACCGGCAAAGACATGCAGGGCCATTGCCAAAGAGTAGCTTCTTTGGTTTGCGTAGTTGGATCTGCTGAGGGGAAAGAAGAAGCAGAAAAGAACGATCATCAGCACAAAACGGTAGATCTCGTCTGAGGTTAGATGAACTCCTTTGTGATCGTTAAAAGTCCACCCTTCTACAGCTGCTGGATCCCAGGGCTTCGTCCAGTTTAAGTGATCCGGAAACGTGCTATAGTTGAAGGTGCTGGGTGGATAATATTTCAATTCAGTTCCGTCAATCAGAGGAGGAACAAAGATTACCAGAACATGGGCAAGGGACGGAACGGCAATCAGGAATATCCCCGCAAAAGTGTGCATCCTTGAATGGACCTCGCGAATTCCATCCATGATGATCCAGTTTGGAGCGACCTCACTAATGAAATTTGGCAAACACCACATCATCGTATAGAACATCAAGTTCTGAGAGGTTATGATCAGTCGAGCGGTGACAGCCCACACCACATTGGTCAAAGTCTCGCCTATGTTGGTTCCCCAAATGCGATTAGGGAGTTTTCCACTCCTTCCAAGCACCACATCACCATTGAACACAAAGTGATCTACAATACACAGCGTTGTCATCATCAGAAACACGGACCAAACTAAAGCTTCGTACGAAATAGAAAATCGCTTCCAACGTTGGCGGACGAAAGGCTTGGTCTGCTTGAAGTCTACCACTTGATCGTCTGGAATTTCAATAAGAACTCTTGGCGACTGGTTTGAACTTTCACTCCTCTTAGAAGAACGCTCCGTCTCTTCATGGTAGTGTTCTACCTTCTATTTTAATGGACAATGAGAACAAATTATAATCAATATAGAAAAACTGCGTGCAGTCTGAAGGGAACTTCAATGTGCTGGTCACGTTCTATCATACGCAGAAAATCTTTGAAGAGCAGTTATAAAGTAAGTTATTATTTTATCTTAGTTCTTTAACAACACTGAAATCTGTTTTAGCTTTAGAACTGGGCACCAAGAAAGGTATTTCTATTCTATGCGAAGAAACTATGATGTCTTTGGAAATTTAAGACGTAATTTCATCACAAAATTAAACTTTGAAGAATAAGCAGGTGATCAAAATCTTGAACTTTGATTTTCTAGTGATCCTTGAGGAACTTAAATTCTTGTTTTTTTTTACCGCTACTATATCTGCTTAAGGTAGATTTTCTCACCTGTAAATCGCGCAGAAGTTCTTGGTATTTAAAGCCCATTTCGTCTGTATACATATTCATGACAATCTAAAAGAGGAATGCGAATGATGTTGGTTCTGATGAAACACTAGTACAATTAAAAAAAGATTTAATTGGTGCACGAAGAGTCGTTTTAATAAAAAAGAACTACAGTTTCCTTGACATTTTCACCGTTAAAACTCGTGACCACTTGTTTAAAGCAAATACCTCGTCATTTCGTCTAGCAAGGAGAATGTACATAATTTATTTTGGCAAGAAGGTAAAGGCTTTTGATTTTCTGGTGAGTGATTTTGTTCGCTCTTCTGGATTGGACACCTCGTTAGATAAATTTTTATAAAAAGCCTTCACTATAGTTCTAATGTAATAAAACTGAAATGTCTCTTTCGTGGTACACGTGTTGGTTTCCGTCCGCAGGAAAACATGGTCAAAATCTCTTTAGATATTAGTAACTTCATTAAGTAGTTATATAGTATATGGGAGCAGTAAAGTTGAAAATCACCTACGCATGTTAAACTTTTAAAACAAGTGTCTCACCTTTAAATCCTCTTTGATCGTTAGGGTACTTAGGAGCTGAAAAAATTCCTCTGCCTTTGTGTCGAATTCGTTCACTCCATTGCTGTTAGGAGAAAATAAAAGAATTTATTAGTGCAACAAAACAAGCTTTTACAGATAACTGAGGTGAATTACATCTTTGTACTTTTTCTTTTGACCTCTGGATGGTAATAAATAAAAAAATAATCCTGACAGGTGATCTGAATTTAGAGAAATTCCTGAGAAAGAAGCCTGAAAATATTCAAACACCAACAAAGTTCGAACCCGTGCGCCCTAGATACTAATTAAGCGCTTCTGCCGTAAAACGACAAAAAGAATTAGCCATTAAGGCTGAAAATTGACGAATTTTATTCGTTAGTCGCAAAACAAAGTTTTCCTTTTTTAGAAAGAATGGAAAGAAATTAACCGTTAGTCGTAAAAGCCATCACCCACTAGGACCCTCAGCGGAGCTATGCAAGCGAATGATGAAAGAGAGGTGAGTGTCGATGGTTCTTATATTTTTCTGTTAATAGATCTGAATTTGAAATAAGCACTTAATGAAACTCTCAGAGGACACATTTTAATGTGAAAGCAGAGGCAAAATTTGAAGAAATTTTTAAATTATCTCAACTGGTTGAATGATCAACTGAGGGTGACAAAAGTTAAGTCAGTGGACATCTAGATACGGGTTGCTTTATGAAGTACCTGTTGGGTAATTGAGATGCAGAGCTGGGAAGTAAAGTGGAAATATTCATTTTGTCCTTCATGAGGAGAGCCACTCTCTTCAGCACTGCTTCTTTGTGTGAATCTGTAAGAGTATCTTGATGTAGAGCAGAAATCTCAGCTAGCATGGAATAAGTAAGAGGAAAGTTTTAATGAGGCTATTGCCGCGCTGAACTACATTACAACAGACTACTTCCTTTAAAGAATATTCATCGTCTGAAATAATCGGGTTTTCAGGAATACACATGGCCCAATAGAGAGGGCTAAAATTTTCTATAAGGGTATGCAGGGAATGAAAGTGCTCCAGCAAATTTTGGATGGAGAGTGACTACCTACTTCCATGTGCATCTCCTTGAAACTTACCAGTTTCAGCATCGTGGAGGAACTTTGACCAGTTGCAGACGTCGGAGTTATCATGATCGCGGTAAAAATTCAGAATTTCTTCCACTTGTTCATCGGCTAGAAGATCCTGAAATGCCTCCTTGAAAGCTTTTTTGAAATCACTGGCACTGACATTCCCCGTCCTAAGCGGGTCGTATTCATGGAATTGATCCTCGACCTTTAAATAAAGACTAAATATCAGTAGATGACTCAAAGTCACGTCCCTTAACCTGCATGTTTATCATGCATGCACATCAAATTTTTGTAAAGCGCGCCAACAAAAGCAACCTCAACACGTCAATTGATACCATTATACCAACCGCGAGTTGTTAGAGAGTACACACTCAGACAACTTGGTGTTTGAACAAAGCCAATTAGTTCACTTTTTCGCGTTACTAGACAATAAATATTAAAACTCCTTTTCAAGTGAATTATGCGTCATTCTGAAATCGGAACCACAAGGACTGCCAAACGCACCTTATGCTGATCTAGGTATTCCAAAAGACACAAGAAAGGCGATCGGCAAAGTATTTTCAATTTCACTTCAGCTCTGTTTGTGTCGCTGCACTTTTTCACGCCTTGACTCGATCAAGCAAAGAACAGCTCGAATTTTCTTGGTTTCTTTTTTAAAAAATATTGAAACAATTTTAAAAGCTTGGTTCGGAGACAATAACATTTTTAAATCTCGATAAATTAATAGTGCCACAACATTCCAGTCAATTTTAAAGCATCTAAAGCTTAAAATTAACCTCAATGCAGTCTCTCCAATCTTTTATAAAAAAAAAAAAAAAAAAAGTTTTCGGCTGTAGTGCATTGCGAAATGTGAAAGCATCTTATTGATTTTATCGTCTCAGCTTCACCTTCTTAATTTACTTTCGCAGTGGAAAAGTACCGTTGGAGGAAAATGTGTTAAAATGTTGGAAATACGTTCGCGAACTTCTCAACTTTTACTCAGTAGATATAACTTAATAAATGCCAGTGATGATTAGCGCGAAAGGATAATTAACATTGATGTTCTCACCATGATTCCCTTTTCTCGAACAAATTTCCTGACTTTTTTCATGAGTTTTTCAACCTGGAAAAACTCCAGGCTGGAATAAGACGTTTCTTCCGATGACTGCGTGCTGCAATGATATTTTTTCGATATTAGTAAATTAACATATACACTGAGTTTGATGCACTGATGCATGAACGATTTTGTCGTGAGAAGGTCTCATTTTGGCCATTTTACGGCTAACGGTTCATTTCTTTTCGCTACAAATTAAAGAAAAATTTTTATATTTAACTTTTTTTACGATTATAAGTTAGATATGTAAATGTTTACGCCCAACGGCTAAAGTTTTTTTTTTTCCGTTTTACAGCTAACGGTGAAACTCATTGAGAACCTCTAATGATTGAAGGGACTATTTTTTTCTATGAAAAATACTTCTCCTATTTCCTTAAAACAAAGACACCTTTCTGAACAAGTATTTCAGAACATAAAGTGTGATATATTCAGTCAAAATCGCTCTTTGATCACAAGTAAGAAAAATATATACTTACTTTCCATAGCCTGCTGACAATTCCGGGAAATCAGCGAGTTTAATAGCTCCTATTTAACCAATGAGAAACTTCATTATTTGCCTGCACTTGCATTGTCAATTATTTAGACATAACTCAAGCCGATATGTCAAAAATATGAAATATGAACATTTGTTCCACGTACCTCTCTCTAGAGACATGGCGGTAACCCAGCTGTCTGATATAAATGAGGTGTTCCCAATTCTGTATGCATAAAACATAAATGCGCATATTGACTGAGCAGGAGGCCGAAGGATAATATGTTCACATTTTTAAATTTAAGATTTACGTTCACTAAAAATGCCACAGGGCGGTGAACGGGCGCGCAGGGCCGAACGCCTTTTTCCGGACCAGCTCACAGCAACCCGTTCGGTCGACGTGAAAGCTGACATGTGTAAGGCCAGACGCGTTGAAGTGAGCCAATCCGTCAAAAAACGCGTTCAGCCTTGCACACCCACGGCTCCGTTGCACTTTCTGAGAACGTGAATACATCTTGAGGACATAAACTCTGAATCGATATTTCAATTTTATGAGACTGACTGTTGAAGAAATATTCCTTTCTTTGTCATACTAACGAGGTCAATTCATGGACTGGACGTATCGTCACTTGGCTCATGATTAAGATTAATATGCAACTTATACGTGCGTACTTCAAAATAACAAAACTATCTTGTCATGTCATTCGTGTCTTAGCAAGAATGTACAGGAAACTTACGTTTGAACAAAGAGGAGTATGCCCCTGTGACCAATCCTGAATTAATTTGCGTTACACTCTCTGCCACAAAACTGCCTGAAGTGCACTCTAGAAAGTGAAGTGTACCCTTGGGCTGAAACCTATCTGGCCGTCAATATTCATGCAATCTTACACGTATTTCAGTTTGAATAACAAATGTGTCCACTGAAGATTCGTAATAACAGAGTTTTTAAACATACAATGACTTTTTTTTATTATAGCAAGTCGCTCGATATGGAATCATTTGATAACAGCGGCAAGTGATACTTTTTAGGACAAAGTTTGTTTTGTAGGAGGCCAGTAACGAGGGATTCCGGTAGTACACAGAACAAATAGAAATGACCAAACAAAACGGAAAATTGTGAATATTGTGCGTAAATTAACAGTGTCGTAAGTGAGTGCCTACCAAACGCTATTTGGTAGACGGTAACAACTAAATTATCAGGTCAGCTTCCATGTGTCACTTTAATTTGGTAGTATTGGAATATTGGTTCCACACTGTCCATGGTTTGTAGAAGAGATGTGTTCACCTTGAGGGATAACATTCGTTAAGTGTTCGACTATTTCTTTACTTAGACTGAAGCATATGTTCCGATGGCAACAGCGGAGAAAAAAAAATATAATCAATTGTTTTTTAAGCCGTATTGATTTCTACTTTAACACTCCCTGGCTGATCGGTTGTTGTTAAAACCTTTCGGATCTCGCCCGCCAAAAGTACGGCAAATCGTAAGGTGAAAGGTCCACACACAATTTTTAATATGCAAAAGGAAGTGAGCTTTTTGCTTGGAGTCGATGCATCGATAAGACCTGAATAATCACGATCTTTTCACCAATTAGAATTAAATATCTAAATTAACACTGATAAAAATGTTTCCAGTTTCTGCTTTCTCCTCAACGGCTCTACGCATTACGCTATACTGACTAGGCGGAAGTGAGGAAGGCGTTTTGAGATGTCATTCCCAATACTTAAAGCCAGAAACATATTGTAAGTTAAAAAAATTGACCTCTTTAATGGAGATATGCATGCTTAAGACCACTAGAGAAAAAAAATCATGACATCTTCCAGCAAGAAGTGTCGAGCCAGTATGAGGAACATTTACATGTTTAAACGCGTTTAATCGGGAAGCAAAACAAACAGGTAAAAGTCGCTTCAATTTTCTTTGTCATTTACAAAGAACAAGGAAGTATATATGTAATGAAGGAACTATTCAAGTTGTCGTGAGTGATAAATTTAAGTCTTTGAACACATGAATGAATCCACGCTTTGCTACCAAATCATTGGTATGTGCTAATCACAAAAATCTTATCAGGACATAGCAAATTTCACTAGGTCCATTAGAAATAGAAGATCGCAAAGAAACAAAAAGCTAGACTCGCCTCAGTATAAACTTTTTTCCGTGTTCAGTGAGCGCGATTCTGTTCATAAGTGACATTGGGGTTAAAACCATTGCTAAGCCTTCCCCAAAAAAAGACTGTCCAAAATGGAAAGGGCTCACAAAAAAGGCCAGTGACCTTCTTGAGTACAGTTCAAATAGCGCACTCGATTGAGCAAAAAGGTTTTAATCTACAGCTGAAAGCTGCGAGTTCAAGATTCTTTAATCTAAGTATAAAAGATGGCGCGAAAGATAAAAGTAAATCCTCGTGAAGCCCATAACGGTTACTAGACGAAGTGTGATCTGATGGGGCGCAGATACGGACAGTGTTGCGTACAGAAAAATGAAAGTCTGACTGATAAGATCTAATCAAAAGCTTCTTCCTTTCACCAAAATCAGTTTTGCTAGAGGTTTACATTTAACTCAATATTCTATCTATTGACAGCAGTTACAGAACACAAACCTTAAACGATAGCACTCTGTTTTTGTCACTCTCTTACGATGGTTAGGTCCTCTGCGAAAAGTGGCTTACTCTTTCTTGAGAAGAAGGCCAATATGTATAGAGAGAGCATCGGACTAAAAGAAAGGATTTCGTCATTCAAGCTGCGTCTCAGCATTACAATACGTAAAATTTTGTTGAGCAAAGAGGAACTCGTTACAATGACGAGTCCTAGACAGGTTGACGTCACATCCGTACCCACATTCCTATCCGAGATTTGCTTTTAAAGCGAACGTGCGCCGAACCAAATGCTTCATAAATTTAGCAGATTCAAAGGCAGTAGTACAGTCAATTTTATCCATTATAAAATTTTCAAGCAATATACAGGGAAAGTGGAAATTATTGGTGTCATCTTATGCTCAGTAAAATGTCCTAAAGATTTAAGCTAGAAATATCTTTATTGCAAGCGACAAACTCTTAATACTTAAGTTGTGGCTAATTAAGATGAATAGAATAGACGAGCTGTGCGATTGAAAGGAAAAATAAAAATGTTTATGGCGTTAAGTGGAGGAGGAGGTGGAGGACGTATGGTTTGTTTAACCCTCAACAAGGAAGTAAAAGCCGTCATTGTAACTTATTGTGTTAAGTTTGTCGATCATGCAAGAACGTTCGCCCCCACCTGTGTGGCACGGTTAAACAACAGCCACGAAAGAGACTATCCTGCCAATGAGAAAGGAAAGAATGACTCCAGCTGTTCCACATTAAGAATTTGAAGAATTTGTTACGCTTTTCATATATCTGAGCAAAGCAAAATTTTGATTTTTAATGGCAATTTCATATCACCAAACGTTTTGTAACGATCAGATCCTCTGCGGAAGTTTTTTATCTGACTCTGCTGAGATCAGCATACATGCACGTAAAGCAATCGACCATTAAAAAAAAAGTATTAAGTCATTTAAGTTACGTTTCAACAACGCTTTCTGTGAAAATGGCGTTAAACAAAGCATAACACGCCTCGTCTGACTGACTTTAAATTTGATTTACATCACAATCGGAGCCACAGAACCGCATAAGATGTACCTGAAAACATGGAGCAGGCCATGTTTCTTAATTGAAAATTTTCATACGCGGTTTGTGGTTTGAATAATCAATTTTTTACAGTCCAGCTTTTTTAAGAATGAAGTTCTCAAACAAATCTTCCATTTTTCTTTTCAACAATTGCTAATCACTCTGATGAAGTCTGGCGGCTTTAGCAGACAACCGTTATTAGTTTATGTAGGTTTACTAATCTGACACCATGAAACGTGCGGTATATTAAATGGACAACCGCCATTACAACAAGCAGAAAACACTAACATTATGGCAATAGTTGATCAACACGGTCATAATTATTCTACCACAGAAGTGAGACATACCACGAATAAGTCAAAGTCGAATGATGTATATTTGATAATGTGATGTATATTTGATAATGTATATTTGATAATGTGCACCACCATTCGTCACAATCTCACGGTTACTTCTAACAGAAGCGTAGATTGTATGTGGAAAAGAGAGAACCGAAGTTCACTGAAAACAGAATGAGGAGAAAGATGCACGCTGCTTTAGATGTTCTCACCCTGAATTAAAAAGGAACAAGAGAGTAAGTTTTTCCCGTTGTGTAATAATGAAATCATTCCAGCTTTCAACTGCGCCGATCTATTCGAAGCCTTAACATCCACCCACGGCCAAATTGCGGGTATTCTAAGGTCGTCCACGCCCCAGAGGTTGGGAATTTGGACTTTGCCTGAGTGGGGTTTGGAATTTCAAGCAATAGAATACACGTGTTTTCGTTCAAATATGGAGAAGTGGAAAGGTAAAGAGTCTGCTTCCTTGAGGAAATGATTTAGAACAAAATTCTCACATCATAGAATGATGCTTAAAGCGAAAAATTAATTGAAAAAACTAATACGTGACATCGCTAAATTCTACAACATTCGTTGATCGCACAATTAATCGTTCAGTAATACACAATAGCTTCGAATTCACTGTAGACCCGTTATTTTTTCGTGAAGAAGAACTAAAAGAATAGCAATTGGATTCGCCTTTCTGGCTTTTGAAAAATTTCCATCTTATTTGGTGCAGAAGTAACAATAGATTTATCGAGGGTGTCAAGGGATCGAGAAAGCCGTCAGGTGACACGAAGGAAATATCACTGTACAAGGAAGAGAAAACCATGAAATTGTGATAGAACAAAGAATGAACAAGTTTGCCACTTCAAATTGTAAGAAGATTTCACTTGGCGTTCATCTTGGTGGTGTACATATCTCAAGAAGCTAGATTTTTACAACTGTTGACGATTTTTCTAAACTTTGTTTGGCGTTAGTTTTACAGTCTTCGGTGAGGCAAAATTTTGTTGATTAGGTGCGTGATTATAATAATTTCAGAGTGTTTGTCAGTTTGCATGATCATTTCTGCCTGGAAACGGTTGCTTACGTAGCACTACTTAGTCCTTCGATGGAGCAATGCCCTTATGTATACTTTAGAAACTGACTCTCTTCAATTCATTAAAGTTTTCAGCCATTATATGGGCTTTGTGAGAGTAATTTTGAATATAAACCTACAGCCCTCGTACGATATCTCAGTTCTGAAGCAAATTAGCACCAGTTCTCAGTGACCTTTCATTTTTGAAGTAATCCGTGAAAAATTGTAATTTTACCACAAAATATCACTTTGAATTCAAAAGCTGTCTCAACAGAAAGTTAACAGGAACGATTTTTTTTTTATGGCAACAAAGTATGAAAATACTGAAATATGGCTAACCTTGTCGAGATACCTCTTGTTTGTCTCCGTAGAGTTCAAGACAACCACTGAACGAAATTTAACGGTAGTATTTATAAGTCATTAAATATACGTGTAAGTGGAGTGATGAAAACAAAACAACTTTGGCCAAGTGATAAGTTCCGTTTCAGCGCTGGGTTATGTTAAAAAAATTCTCCTGACAAAGCGAGCCTGCGACTTCATTGAGTCCAACGTGGCAAAATTTAAAAACAACTTGTTTTTATGCGGTTGAATTGTTCTTGAAAATGTAGTCAGGTCACGATAGCGGCGCATGATACAACCAGAGGTTTCGATTTCAAGGATGAAATATTTCTATGAAGTGCATGTACATTGCCTCTATGAAATTCCTATAATTTCTTATCAATTCCGAAAAAGTAACTGTATCTGTGATAATCAACATGGGGTGTTTAATATACTAAGTTTGCTGTTATGCAATACTTTGCGCTGACTGTTCTCACTGATGGCTCTCGCCTGAGTTATGCTAGCAAG